GCCTAACTCCACCTAATAAAACCGGCTTATTAGGGGAGGATTGCCCTCACCTTATTAAGTGGATCATTTATATTTTCCCAATCAATGGGGGATTCTAATAGTCTTTATATATATATATATATATATTTTTTTTTTTTTTTTTGAAAAATTTGGTAGGAAAGGTAATTTATCAGTTGAGAGAAGAATGTACAGAAAATGTATGGGAAAAATGTTGTTTTTAGTCAATATGCGGAGAGGGAATATTTATATCAGTGCCAATGTCTCATAAAGTTTATTGGTTTATATATTTCTTATCGATGACATGTCAAATTTTGAAATATTGTGTGAGATTCTTTCCTTTTTCTTCAGAGAAATTTAGAAAAAAAAAACACATTCTAGGTTTTCTATTATTATGTGACCTATAATTTGTATCAAGTTTGTTATCATTAGGAATTTTTTGTTTAAATTATATCGCACCATGTCTACAAAGGCATTAAAATGATAAATGGCACGCACACATGTAATCCAATATAAAAATCTACTTGTACACTTGTTAAAGTATACATGACGTTACAGTCCACAGAAAAACCCGTTGTCGAACATAAAACTAAAAATAAAGAACTGTGCTGTGTGCTCCCAATTTGATGTAGAATTTGCAAATATTTATCCTGCCACCTTCTCAGCGCATTCCCTGCTCATGCAGTTTTCCTTTCTTCCGACAACTTGCATATCTCCTCTAAACTTCATATTAGTGAATGTATGCCTCTCCATAGCAATCTTGGCAAGAACAATGACAAAAATGCATGATGCAGAACTATGCAAACAACCACCATCATCAGCTGAGTTATTTTCTTTCTGGGGTGAGTATTAAGGCTGGGTAATTGATAACTCTGCTGCAAAGGCCTAAAAGAAGGCAATGGCTCTTGGAGATCTTTGGCGCCTTGCCATAGGAAATTCACCAGTTTGTGGGTACATCACTGAATCCTGAGCCTATTTGTGCTTTGCAGTCATTTTGGAGAAAGGAGCTGAAGGAATTTAATATATTTCTGCTCCAAACTTTTATTCTTCTACACTTTTTTTTGCTTTCTTTAAGTCTATTGAAATACCCCAACCAAGTTTTATCTGATATGGATGATAGTGGTATGGTGACATGTAACAGTGGTATAGAATGTCAAAGTCCTTGGAAAATCAAATCCATATTTATGTGTCTTGGATGAATGAAAACTTAAAAATTAATGCTGACTACAGTTTCAGTCATTTTAATTTTGAAAACCCAGTTGATTTTACTTCATTGCTACTTATTCCAATATCTTAAAGCAAATTAAATATCAGTCCGACTCGGAATCAATGCGGAAATGAGGAGTCCTGGTGTCGTATCAGTGGCAATAATTTGAACTAGAGAGAATGCTCATCTATGGCAATATCTAGTCAACAACTACCGAATGAGAGAGAAGGCTAGTAAAGATGTTTAGCACGTCGTTTGAAAACGCCATATCAGGATCCTCTTTTTTTCATTACCTAGTGTTAGTGGTGGATTCGTAATTCCATGTATTTAACAGCTGCATTTGAGTTCCTTTGCACATGTACAATCAATTGATATTCATGTTGGATGCTATGTTCATGTGTGTTTATTAATTAATAGCCTTTTAGATGACTCATTGAAGATATGATCAATTGGTGGAAAATATTCATATGTTAACCAAATTGATACAAATTGGCGCTTCATAATTGAAAAGGCCTGCAAAGTTCTTGCTTTTTTTGGAAGTTTTCCCTTTTTCATAATCAGAACTTGTGTTCTAGTTTATTAAATTCACAATAGTAATAATAGCTGGGCCTTATAAGACAAACTAAAATATTTTGATTGATTTTTACCTCTGGTTTTACAGGACGCAAGGAGTTATGGATGGGAACTGAATGAGAGAATTGATTTCAATTGGAAGAAACTTTTACAAAAGAAGGTAAGTAGAATATAATGTCATTTGTTCTTTTACATTTTAAAGTCTGTATATTATTCGCCTTACAGAAACTTCAATATTTCCTATTAAGCACAATCGCTTTTTTTTTTTAGCAGTCTGTACAGAAATGAGGGTAATGGATACCTCAATTATCAAACATTCAGTTATAGTTTAGAAAGGAATATAGAGGTATTAGAGTTTGAATCAAGTTTAGAATTATGAATAGTTTTTTTTCTTGGACAACAGAATAGTTTTGAGACTGGGTTTTTCCTTTTTAAGTTTCCGAATATACCTAGCTTATACAAAAGCATTAATCATGGTTTTTAAGTTCTACTTGATTTGGGGTTTCAATATGGTGATCTCGATTCAAGAAATTCATTTTTGTCAATGTCATCTGGCTCCTGCTAGCATGCTGATAATAATTTATATTGATGTTAATGTCATTATTTTTGTTCTAATCATCTTGGTTTTTTAACTTCGTTGTTGACATGATCATTAATGTTTCTATAAGCGTGTTGCTTATTTATTGGTGCCCATGTTAGTGGTTTCACAGAATTTTCCCCTTCCCAAATAGATTGTTAAGGAAAGCGCGGACCTTTTTAATGTAAATTTCTCTTTTTACTTTTTACAAGGTCTATCTGAATGTTGGCTACTTCCTCTAATGGCATTTCTAAATTTTGTATATTATTTTTCTTCATATCCATTTTCATGTTTCATCTTTATTCCTGTCTCCTGATTTGCAGACACAGGAAATAATTAGATTAAATGGAATCTATAAGCGGTTACTTGCAAATGCTGGAGTTAAATTATTTGAAGGAGAGGGAAAAGTTGTTGGTCCTAATGAAGTTGAAGTGATCCAACTGGATGGCACCAAAATAAGCTATTCAACAAAACACATTCTGATTGCAACTGGAAGTAGGGCTCAACGTCCAGCAATTCCGGGACAGGTTCGTATGATTTTTTAAAATGTAATTTACTCTATTAGTGCTTGGCACTACGATTCATATGCATAGAATTAATCTTTCAGCTTTCTTGTATTTTAATCCATGTGTAACTTGAATTTTGTTGCTTTAGATGGGATGCTATATGTTGTAACTATACGATAACTTTTTACAACAAATTTCAGTTTCTATCTGACAAGTCTTTCCCTCCTTTCTACTTTTCTTTTTAATTTCCTCTAATTCCCATTCAGTTTTGATAGATACCTTTGACTATCCATTTATGTGGAGTGTATATTGATGTCTATGCTTATATTTTTTGGTTAACGTGTAGGAATTGGCTATAACGTCTGATGAGGCATTGAGCTTGGAAGAGTTACCTAAGCGAGTCGTTATACTTGGGGGAGGGTATGCTACCTCTTCTTTGGTACATTGAATTTGTTTAGTGTTCTTAAAAGATATAAATGATTAATGTTTCTTTTTTGAAATGTAGGTACATTGCTGTTGAGTTTGCTTCAATATGGTGCGGGATGGGTGCATCAGTGGATTTGTGCTTCAGAAAGGAGCTCCCTTTAAGGTTATAAAGTTTACTTGATTTTCAACTCTTTGCGTTTTCTGTTTCTGTGGCTACCTGGTATTGTAGTGAAGCTTCTGAGATCTACCACCACATGAAACTTCACAGTAGATGGACTATGTTGACTGTGAAAATTAGGCTCAGACTGTGAGACATAACTTAGCCCATGTTTGACTAATGTTTATAAATTGTTTACAATCGGTCAAATCACTTTTTATCTACACATTTCTCCCTCAAGTACTACCCATTTATTCGTCACTAATTTCTATATGTTTATAATTTAAACTGTTTATAAACGCATCCCAAACGTGCTTGAAATTGGAATTTGAGATATTATATGTTATGATTTATTTTAATTTGCTTAAGTTCTTTAGTTTATGAATTCAATTTACATTAAAGTTTTTCTAATTTTAGCTTTCTCAGCGCCTCTATAGACTAGGTTAAGCCCTTATTTGGGCTCCATTTCTTCAAAAATACGTTTTTTCAACCACATTCTCTTATAAAATAATGTTACATGTAAATCTAAAAATTTTCCTTTTTCAACCACACATTTTCCAAAAAATCACTATTCCAAAACACTGTTTTTTTCCTCCTTTCTAAAACCTCATTTTAACGGAGCCCAAATAGGGAAATAATATGTTTAATTTCTATTGATTGAGAATTTAATTGAAATTGAGTTTTGTTCTCTTTTTTCTGTGTTCCATTCCTTTTTGGACAGTCCAATATGTTTTCTCAGTCCTTCCATAACAGGCAAACGGCCATACCATTGAAGTATAGTATATAAGTTTTCTGAATTCAATTCATTTCCTTTTTCACTTAGAAGCTATACAGTTACTGCAAATGAATACTTTTAGTTTCATTTTTCTGTTTAATGCATTTCATACAGTTTTTCCTCTTTTTGAAAGCAGATTTATCTGATATTGAACACCAATATCAGTTTCCAGTACTGGGAAATATCATTGGCTTTGAGGGGTTCATTTAGGGAATTACTTTAGTGAATGCAAAGATTAGTAGGATAAATCAATGATGGAGAGAATTACTTTTGGGGTTTGTCGGGGCGCTGTGAATCAACCTGTGAAAGTGGAACTTGGTTGATGAGCAGGTTTTTTTGTGTTCCGATGTATATAATAAAAGAATTATAGTGCAATGTGAATGATATAAAATATTCGCTCACAGGCTAATTTGTAAATTGTGGGTTCCTTAAGACTGCAACTCCTCATTGTAGCATTGTGATGGTGCCTTGAATTTGTAATAGATTTTTTTTTTTGGATACCGATGGAAAAACTTTGTTGTTTCTTCAATCTTCAAAGAGATCGTTGATAAGGAGATTTAAGGTTTTGGAAATAGCGAGGGAATGGAAAATTTCTGGAGATTGCCATGTTAGCAATTACCTAGTGCAATAGATAGTTATCATTAGTACACAGTAACTTCCATAACTTTGACTGCACAATAGAGTGTTCCTTTTGCCCTCTTTATGCACAAGGGGCCACTAGCACTCTTTTGACTTACATTCTGGTTTATTGCAGAAATGAACCATAGTTTTTGCTGGGATTCTGTACTTTCTTTTCCTTTATACACGGAGGACGTTTCCTCTTAACATTTATTTTCAATGACTTTTGGAATAAAAATATTTTGTTCAAAGATTGATCACCAAAATCTTTCCTTTAAATTATGATGTATCATGTAGATCTCTTCTAAGAGAATTGTAGTTGATTATATAAAATCTCTCAAAGAGGTCTCTTATTCGAACTAAAATTGAATATTTCTTGAAAATACAAATATGATATCTGAAGTTTTGTAACTCATTTTAAAATTTGAAGATGTGCAGTAATTTTTTTGACCAGATTATTTCTAAAGGTATCTTGTAGAACACTAAACTAGTGAACTGATAAAGAATGAACAAAACACTGGGATGTTTAAGGTCTCACATACGATATGGATATATATCAAATCTACTTACTACAATTACCATTCCTTACATTTCTTTGCATGTTTATTTGCTGATAGCATGATTTCTTATCTGATCATCATTTATATTAATGTGTTTATTGGTGCATTGTGTCTTGTGGCATTCACCTATCAACTATTATTTCAGAGGTTTTGATGACGAAATGCGAGCAGTGGTTGCAAGAAATCTAGAAGGCAGGGGAGTTAATATTCATCCCAGGACAACCTTAACTGAGGTTCTCTATGACTTGCTTATATTAATCACATAATCACCCCCGCCCCCAGTCCACATGCACAAAAAGAAAAGAAAACAAAACAAAAAGAGAGAGATAGAGAACCCCTTAAAAAGAAGCGTTTACCAGTTATTAATCTGGATCTTTTGGTTCCTTGCTATTCTTTTTATGTTAATGATGACATTTCTATTTACATTTAACCTAATTGGTATAATGATTTGGTGTTCCAGCTAGTTAAAACTGAAGATGGTATAAAAGTACGCACTGATCATGGTGAAGAATTGCTGGCAGATGTTGTACTCTTTGCCACTGGTAATGTCAAGCAGTTACTTACGTACACTAGAGGTGCAAGTTACATGATTAATTACAGCTGGTTTACCTTATTTTAAGAAATAGTGGTTTTTTAGTGCACTTGACATTAAACCTTGACCATCAAATTGGGTTCTTCAAAAAATTTTAGATTTCAGCAAGATGGTAGGTGTGTCATGTGATGGGTATGAAAATATGCTCTTGCAATTATTCGAGGAACTGAAGGCTAGTAGGGGACAAGGGATGGGTACATCAAGAGGTAAGACAAGAAGAAAGGGTGATCGTGAGCTTAAGCGTTTTGAATGCTCGATTAATTATGATGTCAAGGGTGGCGAGTGAAAGAGAGGTTTGATGGGGAGGGATGACGAATGTTACGATGACTTCAAAAATAATTAGTTAGAATGTGAGGGGGCTTAATGAAGTTGGGAAAAGATTAGGTATTCGAAATCTATTAAGGGGATAGAGGGCTGACCTTGTATGTCTAAGTTGGAGGTCGTTTAGAGGGCTGTTGTGAGTAGCCTAAGGGGAGACAACGTGTAGGGTATCAGTTTGTAGGATCATCGGGAGCTTCGGGAGTAGTGCTAGTAATGTGGGACACTGGAGTTTTTGATACGGAGGAGGTTTGTGAATGGCTATTTTCTCTATCGCTTTCGTTTAGAAATACTGGAAATAGCTTCCGGTTGATGTTTATAGGAGTTTATGGGCCTAATGTAGATGAGAGTAGAGGTGCATTGTGGGATGAATTGACTGTGATGATGACTTGGTGGAACCTCCCAACGTGTATTGGAAGAGATTTTAATGTGGTTCGATTTTCTACCAAGAGTTCTAGTGGGGGAGATTAACAGGGGCTATGGAGGACTTTTCAGATTTTATCAGAGAGAACATGCCGATGGACTTGCCTATGATTGGGGGAGACTTTACTTGGTCATCTGATCGAGACCAACCTGCCCTATCTCGAGTACGTGGGTAGTGGGAGGCTAAGTACCTAGAGGTCACTCAAAGGAGTTGGGGAGGTTGTATTCAGATCATTTCCCCATTCCGTTATCTGGGAATGCAAGGCGTAGTGGAATAAGGCCTTTTTGGTTTGAGAATATGTGCTAGTAGAAGGTTTTGGGGAACGAGTACGGACTTGATGGGCATCCTATGACTTCATGGGGTCTCCCAGTTATGTGTTAGATCGGAAATTGAAGGCTTTGAAAAGGGATCTAAAGAGGTGGGATGAGGAAGTGATGGGAGATATTATCTATAGCAAAAATCAATGCCTATCAGATATAGAAGAGAAAAGTTGGAGATGTTGGTGGAGATGGAGGAGATTGCTTGGCGTCAGAAATCTAGAATTAATTGGTTGAAAGAGGGGGACAATTGCACCCAATTTTTCCATAAGGTAGCTAATTCTAATAGGCGCAACAATTCTATCACTATGTTGGAGGTAGATGAGGTTACTTATGAGGATTCATAGGATATTGTGACCAAAATGGTAAGCTTTTATCAAACTCTTTATCGTGAGCAGTTGGTCAGGAGATTAGAATTAGAGGTGCTAGATTTTTCTAATATTAATGAGGAGGATGTTAGTTGGTTAGAGAGACCATTCGAGGAGGATGAAATTATTGAGGTGGTATTCAGCATGAACATCGATAAGGCTCCAGGACCTGACGGATTCTCTTTCTCATTTTATAATGCTTGTTGGGAAGTGGTGCGATCAGACATGGATGTCCTCATTTTTTCCACTATGGAATGTTCTTAAGAAGCGCCAACGCTACATTTATTGTACTACTTCCTAAGAAATCGGTAGCGACAGATATTAAAAACTTTCGTCCTATTAGCTTAGTGAGTGGGGTATACAAGATTATTGCGAAGATTTTGGCAAATAGATTAAAAGAGATGATGAGGAAAGTGATGTCTAAGTTTCAGAATGCTTTCATCAAAGAGCGCCAGATTTTGGATTCCGTACTTGCAGCAAATGAATGCATTGACTCAAGACTGCGCCTAGGGATTCCAGGAATGTTGTGTAAGCTTGACATTCAGAAGGCTTATGATCACGTTAACTGGAGATTTGTTTTGTATATGCTCAGGCGATGTGACTTTTGGGAAAAGTGGTGCCAGTGGATTCGGTTTTGTATCTCTACGGTTTCTTTCTCAGTTATGGTGAATGGCACTCCAGAGGGTTATTTTCGTAGTAGCAGAGGATTGATGCAAGGGGATCCTCTGTTTCCATTGCTGTTTGTCATTGTAATGGAAGCCTTCGGTAGGATGCTTGAGAAGGCTGTGGGGAAAGTTTGTTAAGGGGCATTTTTGTTTAGCAGTTGCATTTTTCTCATTTGCTATTTGCAGATAATACGCTGATTTTCTATGACGTAGATGTTGAGCAATTTAGGAACATGCGTCGTTTGCTCCTGTGCTTTGAAGCCGTATCTGGATTGAAAATAAATTTGGGAAAAATCTGATGCTATCATAGTTGGAGAGGTCGATAACGTAGAGTTGGCTGCGATATTGGGTTGCACAGCTGCCTATGACATAACTTGGGCTTCCTTTAGGAGCACAATTTAAAAGTATACAGATTTGGAATAGTATTGTGGAAAGGGTGGAGAGAAGGTTAGCGGGTTGGAAGCGTATGTACCTCTCAAAGAGAGGCTGTCTTACTCTTATAAAGTTCACTTTGTCGAATCTCCCCACTTATTTCTTGTCATTGTTTCCTATTCCTGTTGCAGTGGCAAAAAGTTTAGAGAGGATCCGAAGGGAGTTTCTTTGGGGAGGGGGTGTAATTTGTTCTCCTATAGTAAGGTTGGGTGGTCTCGGACTGAGGAGTCTCTTACTGCTTAATAAAGCCTTTCTGGGTAAGTGGTTGTGACGATTTGGAGTGGAGAGAGTTTTTGGAGAGAAATTATAGAGGCAACATATAGTGTTTTCAAGGGGGGATGCTGCTTAGTTGAGAGTCGTGGTTCTTATGGAGTGAGATTGTGACGGTATATCCGACGAGGGTGGAGCGACTTTCGGGATAGATTGACTTTTATAGGGGGAATGGTAATACCATCAGTTTTTGGGATGATTGTTGGTGTGGAGATCAACCGCTTAAGGTGAGATTTCCTTCTTTGTATCGTATTGCGTTGGTGACATCTGCTATGGTGCATGATGTATTAGATGTTCATAATGGGAGCTTCAGTTGGAACATAGCTTTTGGTCGAGGTTTGCAGAATTGGGAATTGGATGATTATGTGCTGTTCTTGGCATCTCTATACGAGGTACACATCAGAGCAAGAGAGGGCGATTGTAGTAGGTGGAGGTTGTCGGGGACGGTTGTTTTTCTATTCGCACTTATTTTAGATCTTTATTGGGACTCGTGGAGAGTTCATTCCCATGGAAGATGGTTTGGAAATGTAAATTGCCCCCACGAGCGACATTTTTACTATGGACGATGGTCAGGGGATAGGTGTTAACAGTGGATCATCTTCGTACAAGAGGTTTTTATGTCACGGAGTGGTGTTATATGTGCAAGAGGGATGGGGAGACGATTGATCACTTGTTTCGTCATTGTGATCTCACTCGTTTATTGTGGAATGATATTCTGGCGTCGTAACACATGGCTTGGGTGTTGCCGAGACGTATGGAAGACGTGTTAAAGGCATGGAGGAGAAAGTTTTGAGATAAGGATAGCAAACTTGTTTGGGACCTTATTCCAGGTTACATCGTATGGTGTGTTTGGAGAGAAAGAAACAACCGCTGCTTTGAAGATTTAACAAGGACAACGGAGCAGATTAGGGAGTTTTTTTATTTGACATTGTATAATTGGTTTAATGC